CCAAGCAGGCCGCCATTGGACATCGCCGGGCGATGGAGGCGAAGCATTACAGATACCACAACAAGAGAGAGACGGCCGCCGAGTGAGTGACAGAGGCATAGAGGGAAGGATTGAGGGAGGGAGAGAGCGAGGGAGAGAGCGAGGGAGAGGTGGGGCCGTCTGACGGATCTAAGACTTAGGTGGGGCCGTCTGACGGATCTAAGACTTATGGCATTCTATACGTCTGAGGGAGATGGGGGGGGTCGGGTCTTCCTTAGGGAGAAATGCGGACCACTGCACACATGGCATTCGGCTTTTTTCTCTGATGCGCCCGCCAGAATGGCTGTGCCCTGTCTGGCTGGTGTGCGTGTGTCTGTGTCCCTTTCTCGGTGTTTCATGAGAAAGACGGACTCTCTTGTGCTGGTTTTTGCCGCCCCTGTGATTGGCCATTGTTTGAGTGAGTGGCCATTGAGACGTTCGTCACTCACTCGCTCACTCAGTGGTCTCCGTGACCAGAATGGGCATTTATCTATCGCGGGATGGGTGACACATACACTACACCTCGGCCTTCCTCAGATCCCTTCCTGTGTTTTTTCTGCTCCCTTTTGATGTGGTGATGGTTCCTGTTGGTTGGCATTGCATTGGTCGTTGTCGTGTTGCGGTTGGCTGGCCGGGTGACTGACTGGCCGCCTGACCTGATCGATGCTATGCTCCCTCTCTCTGTGTGTCTGCTGCATTGCATGTGTCGTATCGGTCAGCCATGCAAAGCCATCTGACACAAACGGGACACGCCCCTTACTTGGCAACTTTGGCCATTCGTAAACTATCCCATTGTAAGTTTCGAGGAGAGAACCACCCGAACCACCTGAAAGGAGAGGATCATGCTGGGACACGGGACTCTTCCGCATTATATTCATTCTCCTTGTCCCGGCCATCCCAGTCTGTTCAGTTGTTCCCTAAGTCCCTCCATCCCCCTCTCTCTGTTCAATCGCAAGACAACTTCCTTCGTGCGTGACACAAGATGAAGGACATCGAGTCAGGCGTCAAGGTGCGAGAGCGTGCGGCTTCCGAGACCACCGACAAAGGCCTGGCACACGGCCACCACAAGTTCCCCGTCGTGGCCGTTGTGGCGCTCGCCGCGATTGCTGTGGCCGTGGCTGGACTGGTCGTGGGAGCCGTTGCCCTGCAGAAAGCCGTCGCCACGGAGACTCCACAGACGGCGTGGTGAGTGGAGTGCATGGCAGATCTAACGAATATGTCAGACAGGGAGAGGGAGGAGGGCAGGGTGTGTCAATGATTGTCTGTCTGTCTGTCTGGTTGTGTGTGTTTGGTGTGTGCAGATGGTGCACATGACGGCCGGAGCGGACGATCAGCATCGGGTCCTGCAGGCTTTGTGCATGGCCAACCGAATGGTAGGCACACAAATGAGCGGCTGTGCACTTGGTGGCCACACATGGGCGTGTGTGTCTGTGTGTGTGCAGGTCGACGCGGGCAAGGACGTGATTGTCTTCTGCGATGTCGACTGCCCCCCGCTGATGGCCAAGACTGCCGAGGACTTCACGGTCGAGGAGGCCCCTTGTGTGGCCGACACATCCAAGAGTGGTCTGATTGACAAGCTGGTGGCCAGGGGGGTGCCGATCTCTGTGTGCCCGGGGTGCGTCGCCAAACACGGCCTCTCGATGGAGGACCTCAGAGACGGTGTTGACGAGGTGACCAGCCACACACACACACACACGCACGCACACACACAGAGAAGGCAGGGAGGGAGGGAGGAGTGCATCATCGATGACACACGCGTGTGTGTGTGCGTGTGTGTGTGTGTGTGTGCGTGCAGCACGACGCCAACGAGTTCTTTGCCTTTACGGAAGGGCGGATGCTCCATTTCGACTACTGACTGGTTGCACAGCCAGACGGGGGGAGGGAGGGGACGGCACAGCGCCGTGAGTGCCGTGACGTTACGGGTCTGTCTGCGTTGGGTGGCTCTCTTTCTTCTATGCGTGTCAGTCGTGTGAGCCACCCTTTCTCCCTCTCCCACATACACCGTTTCTAATGTGCTCTTTTTGGTGTCTGTCTGTCTTCGTGTGTGTGCCTATATGGATGGCCATTGGGGCGCGGCGCGTGTGGATATGGGGTGGGTGCGTCAGTCACTCACTCACTCACTCAGCCAGGGGTGCAGTGCAGCACAGAGGCGTGTGAGAGAGTGACTGCTTCCTTTGTCCATTGCCCATTCACAGAGGGGCTGTGTGCTTGGGCGATGGACGGCATGTGACGTGTTGGGTGCTCTCGTGTGCGTGTGTGTGGGGTCCCTTTATAGGATTCGCGTCGTGTGTGTCCTTGCTCTTTTTATATATGTGGATCACGATTCATGGCGCTTCATGTGGCTCTGTGGCTGCCATGCCATGCGTGTGGCGCGTTTTCCGTCCGCAGGACAGATCGACGGATGGGCCACTGTGTGTGGTGTGGGTGTGGGTGTGGGTGTGTTGTGTGCCGATGCGGTCGTGTGCAGGCTGCAAGGATGGATGGATGGATTGGATTGCTCGGTGAGTGAGTGAGTGGGTGCATGATGGACAATACGATTGCTGTACATATGAAAAGACTGAGAATACCCCACACACACATGCATGCCATGCACCAGGCAGCCATGCAGACAACCAAAACAGCCAAATACGGCTCTGCATGCCAGCACATCGATGGTGAAGGCAATATGTCAATGTATTGTGTGACTGGTCGGCTCGACAACACAAGAGAGAGAAAGGGCATTAAAGTCTGTTTGATTGAAACGTCCGTCCATAAGGATTTCGCTTTGCGTGAATCGAGCCATCCATCCGTCCAGCAAGACAAACACATCGCATACACACGGATGAGTCGTTCCACACAAGGACCGCGGGCAGCAGCAAGGAACACATTGCCGCCAACACGCCATTGCAGCTCACATGCAGTGGACCCTCTGCTATGCATCGCACTTCTCTCTTCCATACTACGTCTTGTTTCTTGAATGTCTCTCTTCGATCATGCCACGAGGGAGACGCCGCTCTTGCCGTCGCGTGGCGTTGTAGCGGCAGTCGACGAGCCCGACACACACGAGGCCTTGGAGTACTGCACCACAGCCTTGGCGCCAACCTGACCCACAGGACAAATCATTGAACAAAGAATGCATTGCAAAACGACGCATTGATGGCCACTGCATCCACGCCCGCCTGTGTGGATGTACCTGGTTGATGTCCGTGGGAGTGTCCTTGACCTTCTTGCCATCCTCACCGTTGCATGCGCAGCCGTCCTTCTCGGCACCCTCCGTCACGGTGACCGTCACCTTGACCAGCATGGCATTGCGGCGCCTAAGCATGATTGTAGATCCGGCAATGGGGCCCAGCTTGATGTCGGTGCGGTGCAGCGACGGGTTGAGCCGCGAGTACGTGGGGATGTGGGGCGTCAGCGGGCTCTCACACTCAGCCGCCATCGGTGCTGTGGGGCGAATGCAGAGTTCGAGTGATGGGAACCAACGAAACTCGATAGGGGAGAGCGAAAGCAGCCAAAAAGGACGCAATTGAACCGCGAGAACGTCACGCCCCACTGCGTCGCCTTTTTGTCTCGACTTTCAAGCTCGCGCAGGTCTCCTGCGGTTTCGTTCGTCGTGTTCCTCATGCTCTCTGCGACGGCATCGAGTGCTGCAGGCGACACCATCGACTGTGAATTCACGCAGGTGGATTTCACGGCGCGCATTCATGTCTTTCATGTGCAGGAGGTGACAGGCTAAGTTTGCCGTAACGGTTGAGGAACGCGGCGGACGCATCATTTCAAGCGAGAGGTGTGATGGATTCGATTTGGTTGTGGATCAAAATTGAGACACTCATGCAGACAGACACAGATGAATCAAACGGTCCAGCCGCCCATGCACACCAGTCCATCCAAGCAGCACATAAGTCGGTCTGTCGACATGTGTGAGAGGCCATACACGTCTGCCGCTGCTGTCGTCTCACTGGCTCCCCTTCTCACTCACTCAGCCGGACTTCACCTGAAGAGCACGCAGACATCCATAAATTCATCCGTGTCGGTCGTCTCTCTGCCTTCCCCACCCATCCCACCTACTCACGTGATAGATGGCGATCTCCTTCGCGGTGAAGTTCCGTTCGCTCGCCAGTGTGCCGTTGCAATGGGTGCTGAATTGGCCGAGGTAGCCGGCCGGCAGGTCCTCCTTCTTGACCCCCTGAGTCATGCTGCGCACGTCATCCGCGGGGCCTGGGCTGCCGTCGCAGAGCCACAGATACCCGTAGCCAATGGTCATCTGCACACAGACATGCGAATTGACCCATAGCTGGCTGTGCTATTCCCATTCGCCCCCCTCCACCCACCTTGCCGCGGTAATCCTCATTGCCGGCCTTGATGGAGGCGTCGCGGCCGGCGACATGCACCCACTGTTTGGTCTCGGGGATGGGCACCTTGGTGACTTTGCCGTAGTCACCGCTGATCGAGATGAAGAAGTGGGGCGCGCGGTATCGATTGGTCTGGGTCGGGTCGGCGGGCGGTTTGAGTTGGCCGTCGATGAAGCAGCCGAATCGGTGTATGTCGTTGTGGTTGACGAGGAACAGCAGACCGCTCGCGTCGCCCACCTTGTCCACCATCGTGACGAAGTCACCACCGTCACGCGTCGCACTGACAGAGAGCAAAGGGGAGGGGTGGGAGGGACGCTGTGAGAGATCATCATATGGCTGTCTCCGCCTACCTGTAGAGGAGTTTGACCGAGGGGTTGGGTATCTCCGTCATGGCCAGCACCTCCTGCGTCTCCTCGATGCTGAGCAGTGGGGCCGGGGGCCGATAGATGTCCTGCATCTTGAGGCCATACATCTCCACATCCTTCTGCACACACACAGATGAGAGCGCGAGACAATGCCGACACACACCTATCTGCACTCACCTTGAGCTGAGTCATGTTGCGGGCTATCGGGTGCTTGACGACACTGCCAGGGCGGTTCTTCGTTGCCCGCAGTCTGCGCGCAAAATCCACTACCTGACCATTGACAAACAACACCACACACACCTTCATTCCTTCTGCTTCTGTGTTTGTGGCTGCGGGTCACCTTCATAAAGTGCTCAACGGCGGTCTGCCGGATGGGGACGTCGCCAACAATCTCACCACTGCATAACACAGACGCAAAACAGACGACATGTGTCCATACAACCGCAGTGTATGTCTATGTGGTAGGTGCCTTCTGACCTGAATCGCTTGTAGAGAGGGTTGTCGGTGCCGAGCTGCGATAGCGTCGCCTCGGTGGTCGACACCTTCTTGCCCAGGACGGTCACGGTCTTCACCCCGTGGGCGCCGCCGTCATCTGCTCGGAGGAATGGCCCCATCGCCCTGCCGAACCCCTCCAACTCGCCCGCCGCGCTCTCTAGCTCCGCCACTGCCCTCTTATAGCCCTCCACATACTCACTGATCTTATCTATCACGCCGCCCTCTCCGTTGCTATCCCCTGCCCCCTTCCCGTCGCCCCCCGGCCGTCGCCGCCCTCCTTGTTGCCCTCGCCCGCCTCTCTGTCGTCCATGTCTGTGTCGTCGGACGGCGTGTCGATCTCGAGTGTGGTCTGGGTGAGGAACAGGTCGTGGTAGAAGGCGAATATGGGATCTCCCTTCTGTGCATCGTCGAGCTTGATCTCGTGCTCCTCAGCTGAGGAGTCAGCACCCTCAACCATGGAGATCTCGTCAGACAACCTGACGAGCGCAAAGGACAGCAAACAAAGCTCAATGAAGACAACCTTTATGTGTCTTCGTCACACAAAGGAGACGACACACAATGAACAAACGACCAACTTCCCCCCTCCGCTCACCAGTCCACATAGTTTGGATCAGCGTCGAGGAAGGCCCGGCCCTCCTCATCGCGGGGCAGGGCGTCCACGCAGTACAGCAGCAGATGGGCGAAGTAGGTGCGGCGGAGCTGATCCAGCATCAGCCCCTTGCGCGACACACACACCACCCGGCCGCCCACATTGACCTCCACCTCCCCCTCGATGCCGCCCGTCAGCTCCAGTTTGCCGCCTGTGCTCTCAATCAGCTCTTTGATGGCCTCGGCTTTGCTCTGCAGCTGCTGGCGGGCAGTCCGGGCGGCGTTCTCGATGGCGAGGAGGGCGGCGCTGGCTGCGGCGATGGCCTTGTCGAGTGACTGACGGCCGATCTGAGGGGTGGGAGGGTGGTGGTCATCAGCTGGCTGGCCTGCCGCGTCAACAGCATCACCGTTAATCGCCTTCCGCTTCTTCGAACCGCCTGTTGTCGCTGCCGCAGCTGCGGCTGCCGACATGGCGAGCTCGCGGGATGAATCAACGGGGCATGGCGACCGCAATGCCTCCCAAGTGCCGCAAGGAGTTTTCAGCAGCAGTGGTTTCAGGGAGCACCCTAGGCGTCCTGGGTTGCCAGGGTGATGGATTGAAAGATCTATCGGTTTGAGTGCAGCATGGCCACTTCGGAGCGGTGTGAGCTGCTGGGTCGGTTCGGCAGCTTTGGGTGGTGGGTGCAGGGGCTGCTGGGCCTCATCTCATTCTCATCGCTCATCATCAAGAGGCAGCGGGTCAGCACAGTCGTCCACACGCCATCGCACATTGGCCTCTGATCTGTGGGCTGTGCTGCTGTTGTGTGCAGGAGCGTGTGAAGCGCAGCTGGCTGGTCTTCGGCCTCGACTCGAGCAAACAGGCGGCCGGCGCACTCACTCTCCATCTCTGTAAGTGGACAGACGGCTGTGTGTGGTGACATCTCCAATCAGTGAGCGCCTTTGTTGTCCTGTGTGCAGTGAATCTGTTGTTTGCTGAGGGTCTGTCCGGCCTGGCGCGGCAGCCACACCATGACCCCTGCAACTGGTGGGCGGCCGGACTGACAGCGGACATCACACGGAGAGAGAGAGAGGCATCAGTGGCCTCTGTGGCTGTGGTTGTGTGCTGCAGGTATTGGGTGAACATAATGGTCGACACGACATTGGGTGTGTTGGTCACCTATCTGCTGCTGCAGCAGGCCAGGAAACTCCTCCACCTCTCGGGCGACAGAGTAACTCACACACGAGCGGGCAGCACACACAGCACTTCCTAACCAGTGCGTGTGTGTGTGTGTTTGCCACAGGAGTTTGGGAATTACGTGCGTCAGGATGTGCCGTCCGATCTCTTTGTTCACGGCAGGGCGGCCCCCGACGAGCACTCACTGTCGCCGAGGAGGGGGCTGGTCGGCGGGGAGGCGCGGGGGGAGGGCGGCGGGCCGTCGCTGCTGTCGTCCGTCGACTGGCGCAAGTGGCTGCGTCAGCTGGGGCTGTGGGAGGCGATTGTTGTCGCCATGAAGATGCTCATGCTGATGCTCATGCTCGCCGCCAGCGCACCGCTCGGTTAGAGGGACGGCGGCCACTGCATCTTGGTCGGCTGACGAGTGTGTGTCTGTGTGATGATCAGGTTGGCTGGCCGACACGTTGTTATCTCCGCTGGATGGGCTGCCCAAGGGGAAGCTCGTGGTGGTGATGGTGCTGACGCCACTCATTATGAACGCATTCCAGGCAAACGGCACAAAATGGCAGAGGTCAGAGGGGCGATCACCGACCCAGCCCTCTCTCTCTCTGTGTCTGTGTCTGTCTGTCTGCAGTATTGGGTGACGGATAACTTCATCAAGCGCCAAGAGCGGTCAGCTTGTAACCCACACCTCAGTCCACACACACCCTCTGCACATCTCCCATTGTCGTGTTGTCCGTCCTCTCATTTGTTCAGTGAGGTGGCCCCGTTGTATTACGAGACGGAGAGCGCGTCAGCGATGCCCTTCGATCGGCCGCCCAGCCAGCCCAATGTGGCGAGCGGCCCGCCCACACCCACTCGCGAGTCAGAGCTGCCCCAATACTTCCACGCGACCAGGGGCGATGAGAGGCGAGATGACAGCTGAAGATCCCTCGTGTGGCGCTGCCGTGGGATTTGGAGGGGGGGCACTTTGGTAGTTGTGGGTGTTGTGGGTGGGTTACCATTTATCAGTGTGGGCCGTGTTGTCTGTCGGCGGCTGGGTCGATGTCTGTCCCTCTGTTTGTGATACCGCAGAGGTCGGGGGAGGGGTTTGGCCGTCGAGTGTGTCAAAGGGTCACTGACAGTCAGCGGGAAGCGAGACACGTCATGTGGATATTCAACGACAAAGAGACACAGGGGTCCTCACAGCACACTGACAGGCACGGCACGCAGGAATGTCCGTCAGCCCAACACAAACTGACTGGCAAATATAAAATGGAGGCGGCGATCTCAGGGGGTGGAAGCATCTACCCATACTTCCTCCCGCTCGAGGAGCGGGGGTGCAGGGGTGTGTGGGACGGGCTGGTGGTGTTAGTGGTGGTGATGGTGCCTCCTGCTGCCCCTCATGCGATGGTGGTGCTGGTGGCGCTAGTGGTGGTGGGGCCGGCTGCGATGGCGATGGCTCCTGTGGCGCTGTCGGCGCTTGGCGCGGGAGCTGTCCGTATCTTCCGAGAATCCCTCATTCCCCTTCAGCGGCGGCACGCGCTGGAGACGCTTGCGGTCCCAGAAGAGCAGGGGGGCGGGCTCTTGCAGCTGGGGTGGGTGGTTGGGCGGCAAAGAGCCGCCCTCCTCTCGTCTGACGCCTTGCGGAGTCACCAGCCTGACTCTGTGGCGAGTCACCACCAGCACAGCACAGAGGGAGCCTGGGCGGTCTCTTGCGGCAGCTGGGGTGGGGGGCTGCGCTGACGGACGGCCGTCGTGGGGAGTGAGCGGCCTGGCGCCGTTGGGAGTAGCCACCAGCACGGGACCATCTGATTGGGTGTGGCGGGATGGTGGGGTACCGGGGATGGCGGCCGCAGCAGCTGCAGCTGCAGCATATGGCGGAGTCCTAAAACAGCACAGCAGGGGAGATATGTACTCGTGTGCCTCACGTCTCAACCATCCCTTTGTGTCTTACTTTTGCACTTCGGCGGCTCTTCCCTGGCCAAGTGCATCGACATGCCATCAAACATCCATCTGCGCGGCGGCCGCATAGCCAAACGGCGAACACTTCTCGTACCTGGATACGCGCAAGACGCAGACAGACAGACAGACAGCCAAGGAAAGGAAGGAACAATAAAGGTATCCCGATCGTCTGCTTGTTGTTATCGATCCTTACTTGGTGCCCCACTGCGGCGCGCGATACCCGCCCTTCAACTGGACCCACACACACCGTCAGCGCACTTGTTGCCTCGGTCGACCTGTGGGGGCTGGATGCACCCCGCTGCTGCCGCTGCGGCCGCCGGGTTGTGCCGGAGTGGCGATACCAAGCCGTCAGGTGACGGAGGGCGCAAAGGCGATGGGAAGCCGACCGCAAAGGGAAACCCATGCTTAAGACGGAGACCCACGTGCACATGCACGCTTCAGATGCTGGGAGAAAAAGACAGGGTTTGTGGGGTTGTCTCGGATTCTCGACGGCGAGAAGAAGGCGTCTTTAGGCTGTGGTATGAGAGTGGCCATCGTGACGACAGCTGCCTTCGGCAGCACCGCCGCCCCTCTGCGCTCCTTCATCCGCTACCATCTGGCCAAGGAATTCGCCAAGATCTACCTCTTCATCGATGATCCCCACGACTGGGCGGCACGAGAGGTGGCGCGGCAGTGCCAGTGTGACGGGCTGCGGGTGTTTGAGAGAGGCGAGCAGCTGGAAAGGGACATCATGGCTGAATGTTGCGACCTCTTCTCTCGGCTCAAGGACATCCATCACACGGAGGTGCGCTTAAGTTCTGCCGAGGCAAGGGATGCGTCATGCATTCACGCTGATGCGTTTCTTGTCTTCTGTGTTTAAGGTTGTTGCCCGTCAGATGCTGAACGCCTCTTATGCGGCCGTGGTGGCTTCAGCGGATGGGATGGACTGGTTGCTGCACATCGACAGCGACGAACTGTTTTACACTGAGGAGCCGTCAGTGAAGCCGCACTTCCAGGCCCTCACTGGCAATGGCTATCATCAGATGACCTACGCCAACCACGAGGGCGTCCCCACCTCAATCGACTGTCAGGACTACTTTGCTGCCGTTTCCCTCTTCCGCACACACCCATCGCATGTCCCCTTCACACACGAGGCGAGGCGGGCGATGCACTGGTGGGTGGAGAGGCTTGGCCGTGGGCAGTACTTTGCCTTTTACGACAACGGCAAGTCGGCAGCGAGGGTGGTGCCGGGCTTGAGGGCGAGGGATGTGCATCGGTGGGCACTGCCGCCCTCTACGGGTGGCTCTTCGCCTCGATGGGGCTCGACGTTCGCCGACCTGCGGGCACTGGCCGCGGGAGGGGGGCCGGCCGCGACGGAGAATGGCGAGGGTCGGGGAGGGCGGCCTGTGTATGACAGCTCGTTTCGGGATGGGCCGTGCATCCTCCACTTCGCTGTGTGTGGCCTTTCGTGGCTCATGGACAAGTACCAGCGGCTGGGCGGTTTCCACGACTCATGGTGATCCTCGCTCATGCACACACAGTGGCAAATCGATGTGTCTGATCCTGCCTGTGTGTTTGTGTGGTGGTCGGTGGTTGGGCTGGTAGGTTGGGTGGGAAGCTGCCGATCGCCCCTTCATTCCATCTGGACTGCCGTGACGTCGTCGCAAGGGGCGACGAGCAGCAAATCGAGCGCTTCTACAGGTACACAAAAAAACAAGGACAGGCTGAGGTTACTGGGTGACGGTCCTCATTCCCTCTGCTGTGTTTGTTTGCAGGAGTCGTGTGATGTTTGACGAGTCCTCTGATGCCGACGGCGGCCCTTGTTCGCTATCCTTTCAGCTGAGGAGCGGCGTGCTGCAGCGGAGGGTGGACCATCTGACGGTCCTTGGCCACGATAGCAACCACCAAGGGTGGGTCACACGAGATGGCGTGCAGCTGTAGCCGCCATGTGTGTGTGCATCCTTCAGGCGGTCGGATGACAAGAAGAAGGGGCCCACGGCAGCGACTGATGGAGGTGCTGGGCTGTCTTATTCGAGTCACGAGCGTCCGTGGATCCTCGGACACGTTATGCAGCAGTACCTGAGCAGTCCAGACGAGCAAGGGAAATAGCACTTATGTGCTGGGGCAGGGTTGTCGATAGGGTGCATTGGATGCGTTGCAAGGGGCTTCAGACAAACAATTTCATATTACATCGTCGGAGGAAATAATGCGGCGCTGCAACCAGCGCTGTACTTCAATTTTGGACGCGCTGCCGAAAGGAAGGCGATGAAGCCGATGAGAGTCCTCGAGTGCCTGGTCACCCTGTCCCCTCTGCTCCTTTCCCCCGCCTTGGCTGCTGACGGCCTCCTGCGGAACGCCGATGTCGAATCTCCCGAGGGTCGCGTGCTGCGTCAGAAAGCTGTCAACGCCAAGCTGCAGGCCATAGGGGACAAAGAGAAGGCCGACGTCGAGCACGACGAGCCCCTCTTGGGCAGCCAGGCTGAGACTGAGGGCAGCAAGAAGAAGGACGGCTACGAGGCCGACTACAAGGAGACTGACGAGAAGGCCAAGAATGGCACCACTGCACAGCAGCCGAAGAAGGTGAGGCCGATGCAGGGCGGCAGGGAGCGGCCAGCAGACTACGACTATGACAAGGTAGGAGGCCTCAGCCTGGAGAAGAGAGCTGAGCCACACTGCCGAGCTGACTGGTCTTGCCGTGTGTGTGGGTGGATGTTGTGTGGTGACAGGAGGAGGAGAACTACGATGACCTGGACATTCCTCTCAACACCACGTACGTATACGACCCCAAGAAATACGAGCTACCAAAGGTACAGTACCAAACCTCATGCACAGACATACACACAGCCGTACACCCGCTGCCTGTTCTGGTCAGAGCATCGTGTACGAGGACGAAGACGAGGATGACGATGACGACACCCCTCTGCCGAAGGAGGACCCCGCCATCCAGATCGACACGGACCTGGCGCAATCAGAGGACTGCTGGACTTGGGGCATGATAGACTTCAAGGGCAACACGCGACCCGCCACAGACGAGGCCACCGCGGCGGCCAGTCCACGTGACTGCATGTTCGCCTGCCGAGCCGACCCACAGTGTCTGCGGTGGACCTTCACCGAGGACCCCAGAAACTGTACGCTCAAGGGCACGGCCAAGGGCGACCCCATCATCGCCACCAAGGACGTCGTCATGAACTCCAAAGTGGTGCATGGAGGCGTGAACTCGGTCAACTGCATCAAGGGAGGTGAGCACACCTCCTCACCCCACTTTACTCCACGCCACACACCAAGCAAACCCACACGAGCGAAGCGGCTCATGTGTTGTGTTGTGTTGTGTTGTGTTGTGTGTGGCCTCCCTCCATCAGCTGGTTGCTGGACGTACGGCGTCAACACCACTGCCGCCGACCTGCCCGCAGAGCACGTGGATATCGAGATCCTCTCCAAGATCACCAACGTAGCCCAGTGCGCGTCCTTCTGCGACTCCACAACCAAGTGCCTGTCCTTCGCCTACGCACCCGGACAAGGCTGTCGTCTGAAGGGGGAGGCGCCCGACTTGGAGAAGATCACAGTGGCCGACGACAGTGGGGCGGTGGTGGGCGGCAAGCCGTCACTTTGCACAAGACGCTCCCGTAAGCTGCAAGCATGGCAGCAAGCAGCATGTGGTGCGCAGCGACATGCGGGCTGTGTATTGTGTTGTGTTGTGTTGTGTGGCAGAGGCTGCTGGCGAAGAGCTGACGCGTTACTGCAAGTGTCTGAGCCCTTCGGCCGCCAACGCCACCGAAGCAGAGTGCAAGCGATGGGGCAAAGGGGGACGCTTCGCGGAAGAGGCCAAGGTCAACCACAAGGTGTCCGTCACATACGAAGGTGAGGCTCCCAACCGCCATCCCTTCTCTCCATGTGTCTCTCTCTGTGTGATCGTGAAGGTGTATTGATTGGCGAGGATTCGATAACGTTATCAGCGGCTGAGATCCATGACCTGAGCCCGGCCTACCTGCAGTGTCAGCGGCTGTGCAGCGACATGGACGGGGAGGGCGGCAGGGAGCGGTGCCAGGCCTTCAGTGTCGAGGGACGCAGGGCACCTTCAGTCGACACATTCATCAGCACCGAGGTGAGCTGACCGACACACGCCGCCCTACTGTCCACACACGAAGCCCACACACAATGCCGTCATTGTCCCCTCCCTCTGTTGTTTGGCTTGCGACATTCAGTGCAAGTTGTGGTCGCATGTGGTAGAAGCGAGAGGCTGTGGCACGAGCTTCCTGGATTGCTACAGCGGGGTCATGTGTGAGCGGGCGCCCCTCAACGACTGGCCACCCAGCACGGAGGGCGACTCATACGCCATGCTGGTCGAGGCGGAGCGGGCGAAGCGGCGGCGGTCTAATGCCAGGTGGATGTATGTCGAGGGGGAGGACCTGGACGACAGCAGGAAGTATGTCACGCACAGGCGGTGATGGGATGACTGCTGGTCGGTCGATATATAGGATGATATGGTTGTACGCGTCGCATATGTCACAATCTCATGCCAATGTCAATTCGTCACGTCGTCCTCTCCCCTTAGTCGATGGCGCCTCGTGATGTGTAAATCGGTGTGTATGTGATGTCGATCTTTTTGCTTTGCGCCGCATCCTGGCGCTCTAGCTGCTTTTTGCGGTGGGTGGCTGACTTGTGCGTGTCTGTCTTTTCCTTCCTCCTTGCCATCCCTGTCCAGCAGGCATGCAATCCGCTACAAGACTCGAGTGTGCGTGTTTGGCGTGCACGTGTGGTGCTGAGGGAGGGAGGGAGGGAGGGAGGGACCAATTACAGACTGACTGCAGGGCAGGGGTGGGAGTGGACGCGTCGGACGATTCACGTGGTCATTTAGTTCATGAGACCTTTGCGCCCATGTGTGTGTCGCACGTGGACGTCTTTGTGGCTCAAAGTTGTATTACTTGTTTGCTGGAAGGACGAATGCGGCGAGGTCACCTCACACGCCATCTTTGCACACCACGACTCGACTATGCACCCATCCCTCCAGGAGTCAGGCAGGAGTCTCTACACGGCACACATTACGTCACGTCGCATCTAGGAAGCCAGACAGACAGGTAGGTAGAAAGGCGCGGGTAGACCGACAAACGCATCTCCCGGGGCCGCCACGAGACAGACAGACCAGACATCAACATGAGACAAGACACACATCATGCGATCGATCAGCCGGCCAGGCAGCCAGGCAGCGTATGAATCAATGAATCAATGCGATGGAGGGATAGGCGGTGCGATGCTCCCAGTCTTTCCCCGCGGCACGACAGCATTAACCAGACAGTCCGTCAGTCCAACAACTCCCACCCACACTAATTACCCACACTTGCTGCCCTGCTGGCGACAGCGGTGTCGCGTCACTCACTCCTCCTCTGTCGCGTCACTCTCTCCCTCGTCTGACCCCATCACCATCACACCGTCATCCGCTTTGACATCTGATGCTTAGACGCAACCAAATCCCACACATACGCACAAACAGACAGACAGGAGAGAGGGTGTGCGGTGCGGGGAGGGGGTTTGCATCCTCTGTCGTCTTTGCTCACAGGCAGCGGGTTCCTGCTTGTGGCCGCCCATCCGGTACATCTCCTCGAAGTCTTCGGCAAACCCCTCGGCCTCGGCCTCGTCCTCGTCGAGCTCATCTGCAGACAGCAAGGGGTGACGGTATAGTGATGGAGAGGGCGCATGTGTGGGTTACCTTCGTCTTCATCATCGAGCTCTTCGTCTTCATCATCGAGCTCTTCCTCATCTGCAGGACCAACACACGCACACATGAGAGAGAGAGGCTACAACTGTCAGCCCGCCCAAAGGAGTGGTGCCATGCGGTGCCTACCGTCCTCGTCGATCTCCTCCTCCTCATCGTCCACTTTGGGTGCTTTTTTCGGGTTGCCAGGGAGGCCGCCCGCAGGACCGGGGCCGCCGTGCGGACCGTCGTGCAGGCGACGCACCGATCCTACAGGCAACACAGACAACACAGACACCACACATATCATCCCGGCTATGGGTGTCAGGTGCCAGTCTCTCTCTGTGTGTGTGTGCGTGGAGGGTGTGTGCGGACCGTCGTCAGGGTTGAAGCCGGCTGTTTCGTATTCCTCGAGCTCTTCCTGATCGTCCTCATCCTCATCAAAGTCCTCATCGTCGTCGTCGTCAAACACGTCGTCGCCCTCTACAGTCTCGCCTGCACGACACACAGACGACACCCACATGACACATGTGGTGTGGTGTGGGGGGTCCATCCGGGGTGGGCGTGGCTGGTGTGTCGGTTGTGTGTGTGTGTTGTGGGGCACCACACAACCACTTACGTACCGATTTTGCCCTCGTAGAGTAGGTTCATATCGAAATCATCTGTCAGCGACGGACACGGGACACACACACACACATCGGTAAGCGTCATTGTGTGCTGAGGTGTGGCAGTGTGTGTGTGTCTGTGTGTGTGTGTGTGTGAGAGTACATTTGGGGTCGTAGTATTTGGCCTTTTCGATTTCGGCCATTTCGTTGTAGTCGTCTACGTTGAGGTCCATCATGATCTCGTGTGGGTCGTTCATGAGGTCGTCCATCCTGTCGTCAGGCAGCTTGGGCGCCTTCTCGTCCTTCTTCTTCTTCCCGGCAGGAGCTGAACACACACACACACAACACCACAACCACACACCACAGGGTGCAAATGCCACCCGACACACAAATGTGGTCTCTCCCCCTCTCACCCTGCGCCGCGGCGTCTTCCTTCTTATCTTTGGCAGGCTGTCGCACATACGCACACACACACACGAAGACGTCTCACGTGCCCGTCTCCCGGGGTTCTCCTCACCTTTTCCTCCTCGTCGATGGCGTTTCCGTCCTTGTCAGCCGCTCCTTTCGCAATCGACGCCTTTGCCTTCTCCTCGGCGTCCGCCTTGGCGTCCCTCAGCTGCCGGGCGTCCTGCTCCTCGGGCGACGGCTGCACGGACGCCGCTGCTCGTGGCAGGGCTGTCAGCAGCACCAGGGAGAGGACGCAGAGGACGCTGACGCTACGAAAAAGTGCCATTGCTGTTGAGGGAAGTGGCGGGGAAGCGCTGGGGTGTGAAGGGAGGCAGGAAGTCTCAAAACTTTTGGTCTGCGCCACGTGTTGCGGAGCATAATTTCTATTATTTCGGCCAACGGCTTCGGAGTTTTACAAACCAACGAAGCGCGGATCAGGATGCCGTCAGCGGCTCTTGTTCTCCTCCTTGCGAGCATCCATCTTATCATTGGGCCCATCTCTGCACTGCGAGGTGTTGCGCGTCGGCATCATGATGCAAGGCAGACCACCCAGGCGGCAGAGGCGCGGAGGGTTGTGGCCAACTTCGAGGCTGAGCTGGCGGCCCAGGTCACGGATGGCCTCATGGATGAGTGGATCCCTTCAAAAGACCAAATTGAATACAATGGACAGCTGGGCGTCGATGAGGTGAAACAAGTCAGTGACAAGGCACCAGACACACATTCCGTATGGATGTCACCGTGGATGGGATGTGTGGATGCATCTGCTGGTGTGTATGCTGTGTTGCTCTTTCAGCGTTTGAGCAGCCTGGTGGCCGATACGGTGAAAAAGAGCTTCGAGCGGATAAAGGACAAGGTCAACACAGCACACACACACACAGATGGCAAGACTGATATCACAGCACCTGCCATTCTCTCCCTTGCTGCAGGCGCAATTCGAGGCCTCATCTCTGGAGAGCGTCCTGCAGGACGACCAGTCCGTTGGGCAGTTCGGCAACTCCCTGTCCAAGTGGCTCTCCTCATACTACGAGCCCTCCCTCCGCTCTGTCACTTCCACCCTCAAGCAAGAGCTCAACGATCCCACCACCGAGATTTCAGTACTCAAGGCGGAACTACTGCAGCCGAGGAAGGTTGTTATCGCCAGCTCGCCATCTGCGGTGCGGCAAAGCGACGGGGAAAAGGCAGCAAGCAACAAGGCGAAAAATTCCCCGTCTGTGGGGAAGATGGCTGCAACGCTTAAGGCAGATGCGAGTGCTGCGTCCTCTTCTTGGTGGCCGGCGTGGCCTTTCTACATGCCCTTCTCTGACATGGCCGGAGGCAGCAAAAGCGACAAATCATCGCCCGACAAGAAAGCAGCTGGGGGGAAACTTGTTGCCAAGAAACCTGAAACGGACGGGAAGCTTCTCAAGGCTGCCGCCAACACGACTGACATTCCGTCAAAGGCCGCCCTCCACGCCAATAATGCATCTGCCGACCAGCCCATTGTCGGCTCGCTCAAGACCTTTGGGAAGCCATCGCCCTCCCACATGCACCTCATCAATCGGGCCAACCTGACCGAACAGACGGGGCAGCACAGCCGGGGCACTCTGGAGACCGAAGGGGGGTTCGATATCAGGGAGGGGGCGGGGAAGGGCGAGGACGCCATGACCGCCGCAGACGCGGTGCGGGAGGCGGACAAACAGCTCACCTGGGAGCTGGCTCGCAACGCACCACACAGGTACAAAAAATGAATGCAAAAGCGTGTGGGGGAGGAACCATCTGCTGCGCATTGTCTCGTCCATTCAGTGTGGCGACGTCTAAAGCGAATCTGATAAGCAACAACGAGACATGGTGGGGGCTATCCCTGGCGCCTCTGGAGGTGAGAGGCAGCCGTTTCGACGGACATACACACAGTTGGCTCCATGTGTGACCTGCAGCGTGTTTGGAGCTCTGTGGAGGAGCACACTGTGGCGGGCCTCTTCCATTTCAATCGATCGCACACCAAGGAGACCGACGCTGCAGTCACCGACAGCAACAGCACGGCGCCCCTGTCCCATGCCGTCCAATCGAACACCACTGTGAATGCCCCTGTGTTGGTGGCGCCATCTACCAGACAGACGTGAGCACATGACGAAAAGGAGACACCCTTGCATGTCCACCGTCTGGATGCGTCTGTCCGTGATGCTTTGCAGGGGTGATCAAGGCCGTGTGGTGAGTGTGCCGCTGCCGCCATTTCACCAACAGCCCACACAGGTGGGTGGACGAGTGGGCGGGCAGACAAACCAACGGGTGTGTCTGTGTGGGGGTCAGGCAAGCTGGTTGTCGCGTGTTTGGACCAAGCTCATGTGGTATTTCCGCCACTCAGGTTCGAGTGTCTGGTCGAGATCGTGATCGCCTTGCTGTGGCAGTGACGGACGGATGGCACAGACAAGGCCTAGCTAGGCCTTAGGATTTGGCACATGACTATCGCATGGCATGACGCACGTGCATTCACTGAGTGTGGTCGCACATCGACACTGATGGTCCGTCCTTCATCAACGCATCCATCCACCCACCCACCCACCTAGCACCTAACCATCCTCCCACAACCTATCTATCCCCTGCCTCTGCCTCTGGCACCGGCAGCGGCCCTCTTGGCCTCCTCCACACCCTCAAAGTACTCGCGCCTACTCATCGAGTTGGGGTAGAAGTCACCCGACGTCGCAAACACACTCCCGCCACGCCACGCGCACAGCTCCGGCTCGCTGCAGTGGTGCATCTCTATCAACCACTCCTGCACAAACACACACCAACCACACACACACATGGACGGACACATGGATCGGCTGGGCTTGCCTGAGGCAGCATGGGGCGGAGGTCGCGCATTAGTCGTTGCTTGAAGTGGGGCAGCTTGGTGGTGCCGCCCGCGAGGAGGATGCAGGCGGGGAGGTGCGGCTGCAGCTCCGGGGGCGAGGCGTAGATGGCCCGCTGGATGGTCTCGGGCAGGCCCCACTGGTGCTGCACGTGGGGACCGATCTTGTACTCCTTCAGGTCCTTGTCGCTCAAACACATGTCTGCAACCACACACACACGCACACACACACACACAACACACATTGCCCGTCCCTTTTTGTGATATCGTGTGGGCAGCGTGTGTGTGTACCTGATGGCCTGAAGAGTATCTCAGGAATGAGAATGCGCTCGTTGTTGAGCCTCAGCACGTGGGTCTCGTCGTCATCGGGCGGCGGCCACCGCTCACACCACTTGGCTGCATCAAACCCACCACCACCACCGCCACTCGACCCCTCATCGTTCACCACATCCATACACCCCAGCCCCCCCTCACCAGCAGCGGCAGCAGGGCTCTCCTCCCCCATGTCATCCGCCCCACACCCCTCCTCCTGATCGCCGTCCTCGTCGGGGTCATAGTCCTCCTCGTCGTCATCATGCCGCCGCCTCCTCTCTCGCGCGCTCCGCCTGACCGGCCCCCTCTTGTTGCGCTTGCGCTTCCTGTCGCTGCTGTCGACTGAAGGTGGGCTGAAGGTTGGGGGGAAGGGCTGCAGGGGGCCGCCGGGGGGTGGGGGGATGCCCTGCCGATTGCGGCCTGGGATGTACGCGTATCCCTCCTGGACACACACAAAGGCAATGGCAGTGGGTTGAGTGGAACAGACACTTGGTGTGTGCGAGAGACTTCTCACCCGTCCCGCTTCAGCGTTTGGCAGGACGTATTCGCAGAAGAGGTGTGTGGCGAATCGGCGGGTGCGTGAGGCGTGGATGAGGGCGCCAGCCGCTGAGATGGAGGGCCGGGCGTCGTCCAGCTCTCGCTTGGCAAGATCCATCGTGCCCACAAAATCTTCAGCAACGAAACAGCACGACTGCTTCACCTGCACAAAGAGAAAAGGCACGACATGGCGATGACCATCGGTTTGACACACACAAAGACCCTTTCCTCTCTGCTCTGCTCACATGTTCGCTGATGAGGAATTTGTCTCGCAGCCAGTTCTGCTTCTCCTTCTCCTTCTGCGTGTTCATGAGGACATTGGTGAGGTGGGTGGTCAGGAGGTCCCCGCCCACGTCCAGCCGGCGCGTGGCCAAGGGGACCATCTCGTTCTCAAACACCGGCACAGCCAGGCAGGACGACGCACCGCAGTCTACCACCAGGGAGCAGGGGTTTTCGCCCCCAATGCCCCTCTTCTTGCGGTAGTAGTGGGGCACCAGAGCAGCCGCAGGCCATAGACACACACGGCTGAAGCCGTACTCCTCAAACAGCACCTCGACAGTCTTCTCCGTCACGCTTCTCGGCGTCTGCGGGGCCTCGGTCAGGAGCAGCGCCGAGTCTTTGAAGTCGACGTTGAGGTAGCTCTTGGAGAAGACCCGTTCCCACAGGGCCCTCTGCAGTGCGTGGTCGGTGACGAGGCCCATGTCCATGGGCCGGGAGAAGAAGTAGTCGTTCTGTGGCGGCATCTGGTCGTGGAAGAAGAGCTTCTCGCCGCGCTTGGCCTTGCACACGCAGTTGAGGTGCCGCACTCGAGGGGACGGCTCGCCCGCATAGCCCGCCTTGATCTCACCCGTGCCGCTGTCCAGCACCACGATGCGGCTGAACTCCGCCTGCATCTTCCTTCCGGTAGGTCACTCGGTGGTCAGGCCGACAGCAGCCTCGGCGTCCTGCTGTGTCCACGGCGCTTCGAGGGCGGTTTTCAGTCGCCGCTTGTGCTGTTTGCTGTCGCAGTGCTTCTTGAGGACGTCCTCAGTGATGAAGTAACGCGCACACGAGATGCAGTAGAACTGACCTGTGTGTGACACACAGACAGACAGACAGAGATGAGGGATGCAACCACAGGCAGTCCGTCGTGTGCAGGCCGACCTCGTCCGGGGAGGTCGTCGTCTATCTTGTGTGCGGGCGGGTTGGCGAGATCTCGGTGGATCTGGTCGGTGTCCCTGCCTCGGTGTTTGGTCCCGTGCTTCTTCCTGTATCCCTTCGAGCGACCCATCAAGCATCAAACGCGTCGCTTCTCTTTCTGTCCGACTTTCGTGCCTCGCGCGAGCAGTTTCACGCAATGTCCTAGGCACCTCGGCTTAGCTCGCAGACCAGGCGTCGAGCTGTGCTGGTGCTGTCAATACGCGTCACCTCCTCGTTCCACCTCCTCTCCCTTTGACTTGGCCATGTCGGTATATCCCGCGTTGGATGAGGACCAGGTGCCTCTCCGTGATACTGATGCCACAACGGTGCCTGTGGCGGCGCAGGACGCCGTCAGCGACCGCTTCATCAAACACAAAGTCACTGGTACGACGGCGAATCGGGCAGCAAAGCGTGCGCGTGTCGGCTGAATGCATGTGGCTGGCTGTTGTGTGTGTGTGTGTCGGTGCAGGGGCAGACACACTCGTCAATCTGGCCATTAGGTACTCGGTGTCAGTCGTAGACATCAAGCGGTTCAACAACCTCCTCAGCGACCAGGTGAGCCAGTCAAGCCATGCACCGCCCGCCCTTGTCTGCCGTCCGCACACTGTCTGTGTGTTGGTTTGTGGGTGTGTGGTGGCTCCTGGTTGGCTGCAGATATGGTTCAAGAGTGAGATCTTGATCCCACGTGAGGAGCTGCCCGACAACTTCATCGAGATGGACAAGCGGCTCATCGACGCCGCCGAGCTCGCCAACAAAGTCGCCGCCCTCGTCAAGGCCTCAGGCTGCGACGAGGAAATGGCCAGGGACCACCTCGCTAACACAAACTTCGGTACGTGTGTTTGTGTGCGTGTGTAGAAGGGCGCGTGGACACATGGGCATCGTGGGCCTCTGCTTTTGCTGTGTGTGTGATGTGACGCGTCGATCCGTCAGACTTTGAGAAGGCGATGATAGAGTGCACCCACGTGCAGTCGTTGGCGGACTACTTCAGCATCAGCACCAAGGAGGCCGCCTCGTACCTCGCACTCAACGACTACGACTACGTCAAAGCCAAAAAGGTAAATACGTGGACAGCCAAGTACGACACGGCAGAAGACACAGATGACCATGTGTGTTCCTGCGTGTGTGTGTTGCTGTAATGTGTCTGTCAGGCTTTGGAGGACGACCTGCAGTGGGAGAGGGACGAGAAGCGGTCAGGAAGGTCAGCTACAGACATACACCGACACGCAGGCCCACTCATGACCACTTATTTGCCGTTTTTCTGGTTGCAGGGCTGCGGCTAGTCACGGCGTGCAGCAGCCCGGCTCGGCAGTGCTCAAGAAGAACGCCTGACGACCTCCTGCCTGCCTGCCGGTCTTGCTTAGTCCGTTGCTTTTATCAAGGCCCAACTTTCGTAGGTTCGCATCGCACGTGGCCGCCTTGTCTGTCTCTTTTTCTCCCTCCCCTCTCTCTGGCGCCGATGCAATCAATCGGTGCAATCGATCGATGCACATGTGGGGCGGGCGTATATGTCGAGTGGATTGAGTATGGTCCTGGGTCGCCTGCGGCAGGCGCCCCCATTGACTGATTGATTGATTGGGTGGCGCGGGTGTAGCATATTTGTACCTATGTCTGTCTGTCTGTATGGTGGAATGAGAGTGCCATTGGTGGGGGTGGGGTGGGTGGGGAATCACCTGCTGTGGGCACTTGCTCGGTGCTCCAGTGCCATGCTGCTGGTTGTTAAGCCGGCAGCCGCCACGGTGAGTGGATGGCTGGCGGAAACAGACATTCATTCGCCGTGGCCGCTGGCCTTGCTCGACCAAACAGCAGCAGTGCACGAAGCAGGAGCAGCGCCCTGCCTGTGCGTTCATCCGGTGTACGTGACGGTCATGTCATTGCAATGTCCGTGAAGGCCCTTCGATGGTGTCCTCTGTTACGTACGGCGCTGTACACGGCAGCAGGAACCGATGTGACTCATCGTGTTTTGCTGACCTGGACGGCTCCGTACGCGACCTGGGGCGCGATTGAGCGCCGGTTGGGGTGACAGAGAGATGATGGTGTCTGGACCCAATCTCGCTTACACTGATTTAGCCCCATACAAACAACATAGCAAGCAGGGGTGTCAAATTCTCTCTCTGCACACACACGTAGCCAGCCGCACACCCGTCCACCAACCAATCCCTCTAGTCGGCCCTCTTCAGTGGTACAACGGTCACCACCTCTCCCACACGGACAGCAACCTCAGTCACATCAAACCACAGCCCCTCGTCACACCCAATGCCCACCACAGGCGACTCATCATCTTCGTCGTCTTCATCCTCATCTGTGCCTGCCGCCGGCCCCTTGGCCATCTCGGCGGCTATCGATGCGCCCACAGACTCATTATCAGTATCGCTTGACTGGCTGGCGAGGTGGGACTCGATGGATGGCCAGAAGCGAATGGATGCCGTGTCCTGGGGCCGCGACGATTCATTGGTCAGGGTAGTGAGAGGTGCTACCCACTCCTGACACACACACACACAGACAAAGACCATCAGACAGTGCACGCGAGTGTGAGCGTGTGTGTGTGCTGGCGCTGAACCTGTGATCCAAAGCACCAGGCCAGCGAGAGGTGAGGCTGCTTCTCCTGCCACACACATACACACACAGAGGAGCGACCAAACGGCACTGTGTGGGGTGAGAGGTGGGCATCTGCACTGCCTCTTCCCACCTTATAGAAGGGCTCCAGGCCATAAGACGTCACGAGCTGATCCACCCTACCAATCAGCTCCACCTGACCATCCACACACACTCAGTTCGTCTGTCATTCCCTGCTGTGTGTTTGCCGCCCTGGCTGACCTACCCATTGCTTGTGGCCTGCGGCAGAGGGCACTAGAGCAGCGAAGTACCGGTCGGCGGGCTCGTTGGCAAAGACCGACAGCTCACCGTCAAAGTGACTCGTGAAGCTGCAACACACACACACACACACACACACACACATGCATCCAGCCAGTCTGCTATGACCCCTGCTGTGTGTCCTCTCTCTTGTCCACCTCACTGACCTGTCGCATTTGCCCAGGGCAGCTTTACAGCTCTCCACGAAGCCCTGAATGAAGTGGAAACTGCATTACAATGCATGCCATCACGCAAAGCGCAGAAGCTCAGGACTCTCATCCCTCCCTCCATCTTTCATATACCTTACCGCAGCATGACGGTCTTGGACAAGCTGATGTGCGGCCCGTCCTTGCCCATATCGAAGGAAGCAGCAGCTGCAGCTGCCTCTCCGCCAGCTCGCTTTTGCACGTCCTCCAGCAACCGCTTGGAGCGGCCGAGAACCTTCTGCCAGGCCGGCCGCCTCCACACGCGAGCAGGAACTGACCAGCGCACAACAGAAAGTAGCTGTGACGAATGCATCATTTCTCGTGTTGGCGCCTACCTGTGACGAAGAGTGTGGTGGCGAAGTTGCCCTCGACGTGAGGCTTCTGGCGCTTCCTGTTGCCGTGCTGCCCGGGGTCGTCCTGCCAGTCATCATCTGCCAGCACCAAAATGGCAGATCCATGAGTTGAGGAGACGAATGAACTTCCTTTCTGTGTGCGTGTGCGTGTAATGACCTTTGAAGAGCTCTTGGAGGGGTTTGGGCGGGTCTGGCGGTCGCTTGCCCGCCATGGAAAGGGCGGTAGGGAAGAAATTGTCGAGAATGTGAGACAACCCCGCAAACCCTAGGCGAGCTATGATTTAATTATCACGCTCGAAGCAAGGCAGAGAGTTTGAGAAGCGCCTGATGATGGCCGAAGGGCTTCTCAACCCCCGCACAGTCTTCGTGAAGTTCCTCGTCAAGGCGTTCTCCGCGACGCCTGATGACGGAGAATATGAGAACGCCAGAACACACGTGTCTGATGCCTGTATGGTGTTGTGTGTGGTGTGTTGTTGGCTTGTGTACTTGTTCATGCAGCTTTCTGTGGAAGAAGGTCGTTGAGCTGACGACGCTTCCCCGCAGGCCTCGCCTGGGAAGGAGGACGACCATTGGTATGTCTGTTGATGCTCTCTATCCTAAGGCAAGGCCGAATTGGAGATCGGCCGTGAGAAGGCCCTGTACAAGTCACTCTACGCCAACCTGCAGTTCTGGAGTGATGCGTGCCAGTCGACGAGTTTCAGCGGCATGGTGCTCAGCCAAGGGTGAGTGAGCACAGAGAGAGGGACCGCTCGAAACGAAATGAGCTGCATTCATTTGGCATCATTGTGGACCGTGGGGTTGGCGTTCATGTGCCTTTCCTGTGTCCACCTGCATTCCCTTGCTGCATTTATGTCAGTTCCAGTGGCGGTGGCGGCGTGATGCTGCCTGCTGCTCTCGGCTTTCTGAGGAGCGGCTTCACTCACCTGATGAACTCGGCTGTCGATGCATTCGGCGCTTTCGAGAGACCACGGCAGATGCCCCGCCGAAGGGAGTCTATCGGCGGCCAGACATACGGGTGAGTGCGCCACACGAGGACAACCCATAGCTGTACGTATCATGTGCCTTTCTGTCTCAATCAATGCGCTCGGTGTGTCTGCGACTCGGTGTGTGCCTAAGTAACAGACGGGCGTGCTGATGTTCGGCAATCAGGGACTTGCCGCGCTCTTGAAGACACCTCTTGCACGCGTGAAGCTCACCACCCTGTAAGCAGCTCACCTCGCTCAGCACAGCACACACACTGTGTGCTGGCTCCAGTGTGTGTGCTGGCTCCCCAGCCCTCCATCCCATCCTGCCGGTGGGTCACAATACCTACATGTGTTGCGTGCAGGCTTTCGCCTCCTATTCTGTCGACTGTGATGCGGTCGGTGAGAGAGAGAGAGAGAGAGAGATGCATCCAAGCGACCGACCGACCGCACCCTCCCTTCTGACTGACTGAGTTGGCCGTCTGTATGGTGTGCGGTGCGTTCAGTGATGGGCTTCTCCACCATGGTCTTCTCGAAGTTGCTATTGGACGACGGCAGCCGGCTCGTGGTGACGGTGGAGGCCGTGGTTGACCGCAGTTCCAACACCGTCTTCCTCTCCACAAATGACGGTCAGTGGCTGATACAAGAACACACACACACACACACACGCACGCACGCACCGTGTACGTCTCTGGGTGTGCGTGTGTGTACAGTGGCTTCGACGTATCGTCAGTTTCGCTTCCCGTCGGCCCTACCGATCCGTTTACCACCACCTTCCTGCAACGGTGAGAAAGGATACCACACACCCAGTCAGTCACACAGCCACCCATCCAGCCACCCATCCAGCCACCCATCCAGCCATGTGCACTGCACATCAGGTGCTGCATTCCCTCCGGCACTGCCATGTCCGGCCCCCACCACAACAGCCACGAGGCCCCCAGCAGTGCGCGAGAGGAGGAGGGTCGGCAACGCCCCTATCGGCGAGGTACACGCGGAAACAATACCAGATCAGCCTGGTTGTGTGTGGTGTGGTGTGTGCGTGCTACTTTCTGGTCGGCTGGCCTCAGATGTGCCCCAGGTGTGTTGTGCTGAGGCAGCAGCTGATGTGAGTGAATATTCACAAGCACGACACGTGCCTCTTACTTACCTGGTCCGGTCATCCATCTCTGTCTGTCTGGCTGTCTGTCTGTCTGTCTGTCTGGCTGCGCCTCTCCGTGTCCCATGGATAATGTGTCAGGGCGGCGAACCGGTTCAAAACCATGTGTGAGATCGAAGGGCGCCCTCAACTCGCAGCTGGCTCCCCGTACCAAGGCGAAGCAGGCCCCCAACGTGGTGCGACTCAGTCCGTTGAGCAGTCCAGGCGGCACGTACGATGGTGTGACGGTGCTGCGGGACATCTCGTTGGCCATGTGGCCCCGCACCAAGGGCGGCAAGCCGGTCATTGAGCGGGAGGTGACCGACATGATCGACAAGAGCCGGCGGCCTGACCCTCATAGTCCGGGCTGTCCCGTTCACGTGGGTGTGTTGATGGACAAGATGCTCGACAAACTCAAGTCGCAGTCAGTGAATACGCCGCTTTGCCGCCCACACAGGTGGGTGGACGTTTCCACACCCTGAAATCGCCGCCTCCATTTTATATTTGCCAGTCAGTTTGTGTTGGGCTGACGGACATTCCTGCGTGCCGTGCCTGTCAGTGTGCTGAGAGGACCCCTGTGTCTCTTTGTCGTTGAATATCCACATGACGTGTCTCGCTTCGAGCTGACTATCAGTGACCCTTTGACACACACTCGACGGCCGAACCCCTCCCCCGACCTCTGCGGTATCACAAACAGAGGGACACACATCGACCCGGCCGCCGACAGAAGCGGAACACCGCCCACACTGATAAATGGCAACACATACACACCCACGCCACTAACTACCAAAGTGCTCCCCCTCCAAATGCCACGGCAAGGCCACACGAGAGATCTTCAGCTGTCATCTCGCCCTTCATCATCGCCCCTGGTCGCGTGGAAGTATTGCGGCAGCTCTGACTCGCGAGTGTGTGTGGGCGGGCCGCTCGCCACATTAGGCTGGCTGAGCGGCCGATCGAAGGGCATCGCTGACGCGCTCTCCGTCTCGTAATACAACGGGGCCGCCTCACTGAACCAATGAGAGGACGGACAACACGACAATGGGAGATGTGCAGAGAGGGTGTGTGTGTGGTGTGGGGGGCTACAAGCTGACCGCTCTTGACGCTTGATGAAGCCATCCGTCACCCAATACTGCAGACAAACACAGACACACACACACAGAGAGAGAGAGAGGGCTGGGTCGGTGGTCGCCCCTCTGCCCTCTGCCATTTTGTGCCGTTTGCCTGGAATGCGTTCATAATGAGTGGCGTCAGCACCATCACCACCATGAGCTTCCCCTTGGGCAGCCCATCCAGCGGAGACAACAGCGAGTCCGCCAGCCAACCTGATCATCACACAGACACAGACACACACTCGTCAGCCGACCAAGATGCAGTGGCCGCCGTCCCTCTAACCGAGCGGTGCGCTGGCGGCGAGCATGAGCATCAGCATGAGCATCTTCATGGCGACAACAATCGCCTCCCACAGCCCCAGCTGACGCAGCCACTTGCGCCAGTCGACGGACGACAGCAGCGACGGCCCGCCGCCCTCCCCCCCCCCC